CTACCTGGACTTGTGCTCACCCCCACCCCCTCCCCTGCCCCTTGTTCTAACTTTTCTACACATTTTGGTTTCATAAAGCAAGGAGGAAGAAGTGGGGGACTAAGCTGGGCCTTTAAGACTTGAGAAAGCGGAGGGGAAGTAGGCGGTACTTCACAGATTGGGGGAGGGGAGTGGTAGTGGAGCCCTTTCTTTCCTGATCATGGAAGAGGCCTACCTGCAAGAACAAAGCTTTTAAGCCAGACAGACCTTGGTTGAAAGCCAGGCACACCCACACAATTGCTGTTTGAGCCTGGACAAATTATATAACTTCTCTCATCCTTATTGTCCTCCAACAATAGCACCCTGCAGTCAGTATTACTGAGATAAGAGACTCCCGCCCCTCCCCCCCAGTAGGTCCTCTTCTAGAGCTTGTGTTGCCACACACACCCCCACCTCACCCAAGTATGTGCAACTTCTGGGAGCCCCTGCAAGTTCACAGAGCTCTGACAGGGCTTCCGGAGGGCTGCAGGGTGACTGTCACAGGCCTACAGGCTCCCCAGTGTGCTGGGGCCCCGGATGTGTCAGGGGCCCCGCCAGCTGGGCTGCTCTGCTGCTCTGGTGAGGAGCCCTGGGAGGCCCTGCAGGCGGTCTTTCAGACTGGGGGTCAATGGAAACAAGTTTCTAATCTCAAACTCCTGTAGGCTCAGCTGAACTGAGAATAGCTCTTCTAACCACATTTTATGTGCTTTTGTTCTTTAAACATAAACGTCTCTCTTTAGCTTCTGGGCTCTCTCCCTGTGACGCTTATCCTGGGCCACCTCAGAAAAGCTGCAAATCACCTCACATTTATTTGCTTATGCATGGACTCCCTTCATGCAGGGGACATCTAGACACAAGACGCCTAGTACAAGGACACATTCTCTCTGTGGAATCCCCAACCTGCTTGGAGACCGCTAGCGATGGGGTGCTCTCCACCTATGGAAGCAGCTCCCCTGCATTCCATACCTGGGGCCACTTGGACTCCTAGGAAACCCTTCCTTGTATTGATCTGGAGTTGGCCTCCCTGTCTCTATCCCTGTGAGTCCTGGCTAGGGCTCTGAGGACACCAATCATAGACGTTCCCTCTTTTTCTGGGTGCCCCACAAATCTGTAGGTGACAGACTTTTCCTCAAGGGCCTGAGCTTGGGACCCTGTCTTTATGCATCCCTCCTCCTGGGATGCTCTGGGTAAGCAACCAGTATGCTTCCTGAAGTCTCTGGTCATCCATCCTTCTAAGCCATACCTGGCTGTTTGGTCCTTTGCCTTCCTCAGTTTGCTGAACAGTGACAGTGGAGATGAGCCCCACTATGGAGTAAGAGCTGAGTGGCAGAGGAAGGAGCCTGGGTGCCACTCACTGACTTGTCCTCTCTGAGCCTCAGTTTCCATATCTATACAACAGGGGTAATAATACTATCGTAAGAGGTAGAGGGGATGGGTCTGTCTGGTTAATTTAAAGGGGATGGGTAATGAGTCATTGAATCTGCAAGCAAGAGGCCTGGTCTCCTCCATGGGGCACCTCAGGAGCCAGCAGTCATAAAGCCACGTCCTGTCCAGGGTGCCTGAGGCATTTTATTCAGCTCTCTGCCCAGTGTATTTGCTGTGCAGATGCCAGGCACTGGGACCCAGCAGGGCCCTGGACAGGCCCATCCACCTTTGTGGAGCTGCCTTCTCAAGAGTTCAGTGTTCACTGCTTCGGGTTTCCTAACAACCCTGATGGTTTGTTTTCTCAGTCACAGGAAGACAAACAGCAATAAACTAATTGCTAGTTGCCAAAGTCCCTACTGTTAAAGTGGTGTGAGAGGCGGGAGGGCAGAAACTCCCAGCTCTGTGCTGCCCCTCACAATTGTCCAAAATCATTGTGGTGTCTTCTGAGGCTTCTGAAATGAGAGGCAGAAACTCTAGTCTCCCTGTTCTGTCTCCACTCCCACGAAGAAAAGGTGATTTTTAAAAAAAAGTTTTAAAAAAATGAAGAGCCTATCAACCCAAGAGCATTTCAGACACTAGAAAGGTTTTTGACAAGAAATGTTAGCCTTTTTACAAAATGGTTTTTGAACTTGGTAGGGTGCAAGTAGGAAGTAATTTTCCCTTATTCTACCTTCCAGAGCCGCTATGAGATCTCTCTTTCCCACCCCTGGGCATGCACTAGAGGTTTTCTAGTCCTTTTCAGGTATAACTCACTCCAGTTCAACAAGCTAAAATCAAAATTTCACTCTAATTCAGTGTAAACGTTCTCAGTCCCTAGCTGTGCATTGGAAGCCTATGATAAGGACAGAGGGCAGCGTCTATTTCTTCACTTGCCATGTTCTGCCCACACTGTCACACTGTCAGCTGCTTCCAGTGTCTCCATGGACAGAGGGGCCCGGCTCAGGACTCTAAAGGGGTAAAAGGTCTTATTTCCCTGTAGCTGGTGACAGTGCAGCAGATGGCAGATGTCCCCAGGTCAGCTTTTCCTCTCCCAGGCACCTCAGCAGGCTCTTAGCTGCCCCACCCCTGCCCTCCAGTATCCCTCCTTTTCTGCTGCTGTCTGCCTCTGAGCTCTCCCAGTTGCAGCCAGCAGTCCACCCCACACAGCTTCTTCTGGTGCCTCCTCTCTCCCTGTCAGTTCTCTAGGGTGGAGAGTTACAAGGATGCTCTTCCCAGGTACCTTATGCAGCTCCCACTTACTCCTCAGGTAAAGTATTAGTGTTAGTTCCTAAATAGGCCGAGCACCCCCCTGACTAGCCTCACTCTTCCCTCAGCCCCCAAGCAGTGCCAGCCCATCTTCCAACTTCAGATTTCTCTAGGTAAGACACACCACCAGTCACCATGGCTTCCAAAAGCCAGCAGACACACATCAACTTCACTGCTGGAAGGTCAATTGAAGGTCAGTTCTACACCTTATACCCACTTCACAGCCAGGAAGGCCCAGAGAGGACAAGAGGCTTTACCAAGGCTACCCAGCTTATTCCTAGCAGATGGAAACTGGGACCAAAACCCAGGTATCTCCCTGCAAGATTAAAGGTTTAGCTCTCCTGTGATACACTTTGTATTCTGGAATTCCATATAATGGAGCATTTGAAAAAGGTTCTACAACCTTTTAAATTGATCCTCTGGTTGGGGGAGGTTGTGTGAGGGCTGTGGTGGGGAGATAACACCTCTTTTCCAGCCTGGCCACAGCTGGAGGGAGGCTCTATCTGCTGGGGGTGGTGGCAGCAGACAGAGATGGGGCAGGGCATGGGGACCCACCACTTGCTGAACAGCCACTGAGCTTGGGGTTTTGCAGGGAGGTGAGAGAATGGGAGGTAAGAGCCAAAATCTTAGCCTGGGAGAGCTGGGTTCAAATTCAGGCTGTGCCCTGCAGGTCCCTGGGCAGATTAGGTAGCTTCTCTGGGTTTCATTGTCCCCAACTGTCAAATGAAGGTCAGCATCCTTAGCCCAGTATCTGCCTCAGGGCAAGCTCTAATCACTAGTTTCACCTACACACATGATTCTATCGGCTTCTCAGGTCACCCCTAGGTGGTGGGAAGTATTAGGTCCATTTTTACAGGGCAGGAAGTAGAGGCTGGGACAATCAGGGTCATACGATGGGGTGTGAACTCATACCTAATCTGCTAAACTCTGTCCAGGCCAGGATGTCCTCCCTGACTTGGCAATCAGCCCTAGAAGGGTGGCCATCAGGGCCAGGGGAGAGGTAGGTGGCCTCTGCCCCCACTTCCTCAATGAGGGAACCTGGTTTCAAGAAGAGAAGTGGCTTGCTTAGGGCCCTGGTCCCTGCAGCCACCAAGAGTGATATGGGCAGGAAAAGGAGGAAGTGATGGTGGGTACAGAAGCTGCTTCTCTACCTATCCAGTGAGGCATGGCAGGGCCAAGGCCACCTTGCAGGCCTGGACAAGGGCTCGCATCACATCTACCCAGAGCGGGAAGCAATCCCTGCACAGAACAGGGCTCCCAGGCTTTCCCCACACTGTCTCGAAGCTGAGGAATATGCTTCCTCCTGCCCAGAGCTTTCCTGAGCACTTCCTCCTCGAGCCTCAGGAGGTAGCTTGCTGCCTGGATCTGGCCCCTCCATGGGGAAAGTGAGGCCCAGCATGGTCACAAAGCACGGGTGGTAAGGCTCGCGGTCCCACATCTGGCTTAAGCAAGCCTCCCACAGGAAGAGACTGCATCACTGGCCGCCTGCCCCCTCTCCCCATCCTGGGTGGATCGCCCTCGAGGCCACACTGTGGAGGCTTCTGGCTGCCTGCTGGCTGTCAGTGATTAGTCTGCCAAGCAGCACAGCCCTTCTCCAAGGCGGCATTCCTCTGGTCTAACCTGCACACAGAGCTGGCCTCTGTGACTCCATGGTAACTGAGTGATAGTCTAAAATACAGCTCTGATTTGAGGTGGAGAGAATTTGAGGAATCATTTTCAAGTTATTTTTTAAATCATTTTTTTGATGTTTGAAAATGAAAATTTGCTAAGATGTCTATTGAATGACTGATGTAGGTATGCAGCTTTGGGGACAGGCCAACCTGAGCTCATATCCCAGCTTCTGACTTTTACCAGTTGAATGACCTTGGACAGTCACCTCCCCTCTTTGAGCCTCCTCGTCACCATCCTTACCTCCCTGGGTGTGTGTTCTCAGTGAGATAACTTCTGCAGTGTTCTTGGTGCAGTGCATGGCAGGTGGACTCTACACATGGTGACTTCACAAAGTCACGTGTACGTTTCAGGTGACAGAGGCCGTGGGTGGACGGAAGGAGGTGAAGGCCCTACCTTCTGGGAGCTTTGACATTGTGGGAATGACAGCCTGAGCTCATAAAATGGGGGATCAGCAGGGAGCTGGGTGAGTCCAGGGAGGGAAAGGCATGGTGGGCCCTGGAGGGTGTGAGCTGGTACTGGGCCTGGGACTGTGGATCTGCAGGACCAACTGACTGATTGAATAATTGGTTCATTCATTTCCTCAACAGCATACTGAGTCTGACTCTGCCCAGCTCTGCATACTGAGTCAGAGCTCATCCCCTTGAAGAGGTAGCTGGAGTGGGGGTGAAGGATGAGGGTGCAGGCTGGGGGAGGTTGCAGCCCTGCGGAGGCAGGCACTTCCTCGGAACAGGCTAGTCACTTGTGACAGTAGCTCACTTGGCCACAGCCCCTGTCAGCACCACCGTGGCTCTGAGCAGGAGCTGGACAAGATTCTCGAGCTATAACACTTTGGGAAGATGAGCTCCTGGGGACCCAGCCTGCAGGGCCCCTCGCCACCTTCTGCCTCATCCAGAATGGCCAACAAGGTTTGGTTTTGCTTCTCTTTATACTCTGAGGGTCTCAATAAAGACAAAGGAGTTTGCCTGCAGAGTTGGGCTAGGCATGGGCTGGCAGGAAAGAGAAGGGCGCCCTGCCCTAGGACTGGACCCTAGTCAGTGTTCTCTGCTCACTCCCTGTCATCTCTCCCACAGACATCGTGGAGTAAAACAGGTCGCCTTGTCCTTCCTCTGTCTGTGTGACCTCAGCCAAGCCCTTCCCTCCTTTGGGCTTTAGTTTCCCCAAGGACTGAGCGGCACTGGACAAGATGTGTTCCTTCTAGTGTTCTGTGGAATTCAGATCTGAATGCTTGTGTCCAGCTTAGAGTGACCCTCTCATTGGAGAGGGTGGGAGGCTGGGGCTCAAGATTGATTTTCCTTCCTGGCTGCCACAGGCTTCTGTCCTATGAGTCCGGAGGGAAGGCAGAGGCTGAGGGGCAGGAAGCCATGGTCTGCTGGCTGGTTAGTGGGCAAGTGGCTGCCCACAAAAGCCAAACAAAAGGAAGCCTGGCCCAGTCTTTCCCAGCAATACTGGGAGCTGGTCAGGGCTCCAGGATAGGACTGCAGAGGGTCTGGAGGGACAACTTCTCCCTGATGGGGCTCTGGATGGCCAACCAGGGCCCACACACCATGCTTATCACCATGTGGACAGCTGAGCCTGGGCCTTAGGAATTTCTAGGAATGCTTAAGGAGGAAAGAATGAGCTTGGGGTCCTAAACGTACTACAAGTCTGGAGACCCCACTATTCTGAGTTTGCTGAGGGTGGGCCGGGCCTGACATGGGGCCAGCTGGGATAATTAGTGGCATCTCTGCCCTTTCCTACCACATCCGACTCTCCTTAGACCTTGAAGGACACCTTCCCTTCCTAAACCCAGCTCACAATGTCTCTTCCTGAAGGAAGCTCTCCCTGACTTTGACTCCTCCCTGCTTCTCCCCATAACACAGCATTTGAGGGGAGGCATGGGACAGGAACAAGAGCACTACCAGCTTTTGATTCTGAGATGGTTAGACTTGCCACCCCAAAGAGTGTGTGGCCTTGTGAAAGCTTCCCTTATTCTCTGAACTCTGAGAGACAGGGCTGTGGTGTTTGAGATCTGGGAATGGGGGCTCATTTCCCCAGTCTCTGAGGACTTTGGGGAGTCTATGGGGAAGGAAAAGAATACTCTAAGTGCTAAATCTCAGGGCCTGCCCTGATTGGCAGTTGCCTGGCTGAGTGTCCTCGAGGGTTTGGGGATCCTTCCTCAAAAATGGAGGTGGGAACCAGTGATGTGAACCCCCTGCTCTCAGTATGTTTCACCACCTCCTCCTGGGTTGCAGCTCCCTCCCCTGGCAGTTAGGCGCTAAGAGAGCTGGAAGGGGTCAACCTGACCCTAGGAGCCACTCCCTAGGCCTGGGAATGTCTTAGGAGACACTCTGTCCCCTCATGACCTCCTTGAGTATGACCTCCCTCCCCAACTTCCCACACCAGCATCTCAAAGACCACTTCCAAAAGTGAGAAAGGAAAATCAGATGGGCTAGGAACTCAGGACAAGCTGAGCAAGAGCCAGGCGGGCGGCAAAGAGATATCTGTGTCCTGGATTCCCCACAATGTCCCTCCCTCACCCCCTGGTTAAGAGGTGGACCTGGGGTGTACCAGGTGTCCTAGGTGTGTGCCAGAGGTCCTAAGTGTGAGGTGTCCTACATGTGCTCTATATATGTGTTTGAATGTGCCCCATCCTGACTGAAGTCAGCCTCCGTGCCCACCTCACCAGATGGCTGCGAGAGGATTACCTGAGCCCACACACACAGCCTACAAACTGTGGAGACCATATAACATATAGGTGAAGCGATTGGACTGAGCCAGACAGCCTTCGAGTTGTGTCACCCCAGGCACACTTCACCAGGCTGGGCCTCAGTTTTCTTACGTAGACAGCTGAGATACTAGGGCTACTGAGATGGTGACAGGAGCAAGCCCTGCCAGGCACCCTGCAAGGTTGTCTGTCATCATGGGGTCTGGGTGGTGGCCCTCCCCATGGCCGTCTTGTGTTGGAGTTGATGTGTCCTGGACTGTGAACTCTGATGTCAGGTGGGTCTCGCGTATATACCTGGTACCTCCACAGATGGGGAGGGGAGAGCCTAATGTGTGCCTGGTGTGAAGCCAGGTCCTGAATCCTAAGAGCTTGCCCTTGAATGAAGGAGATGGAGGCAGAGAGGGAGGTGGTCAGGGGGCCTCACCAGGCTGTGACCCCATTGCCGGGGCAACCCTCATGCATCCCTCTGCCTTGTGCTACAGTGCAGGGACTTCACTGCCCACACGGGCTACGAAGTGCTGCAGCAGCGGCTGCTGGATGGCAGGAAGATGTGCAAAGACGTGGAGGAGCTGCTGAGGCAGAGGTGAGCAGCAGACAGTGTGGGTGAGGGCAGGGGGGCAGGGAGGCCTTGGAAATGGCCAAGGCCCCCATCCCAGCCACATTGTCTTCAGGGCATGCCTGTAGGTACGGCTCTCCTGTGTTTCTCCAGACGTGGGCCTCCCCCCGGTGGGCAACTCATCTGATGTCCCTTCAAATGTACCTTTATTTGACCAACATGTATTTAGAGGAAGGGCTGGGGGAGCTTAACTTTTTCAAGGAGGAGCCTGAGCATACAGCCTGCCACAGAGGCTGAGAGGGTGGCTTCTCACTGTCTTGCCAGATGCCTGAGGGACCCATGGCTAGTAGAAGTGGAGGACAGGCAGTGATCAGACCTTGTTCTTGCAGAGCCCAAGCAGAGGAGCGGTACGGGAAGGAGCTGGTGCAGATTGCCCGGAAAGCAGGCGGCCAGACAGAAATCAAGTAAGAGGTCTCAGGCCCTGGGTTCCCCACTCTTTTGCCAGGCACTTTCTGGGCATTTATATAGGGTTTAGGATGGACTGGGAAGGGTCAGGGAGGGTGTGGATGGCTCCCGAGGCAGGGGTGCCTGAAGGACAACCCTCCTGGTTACTGGGAGGTCAGGTTCTGTGTATGGGAGAAAATCCACTGGTCTGAGTGGCGGGAAGGCCCTGGGCAGAGAAGCAGGGGCCATCTGTCCTTGGCAGCCTCCCCCAAAGTCTATTGGCAGGCCCTCTACTGGCTGCCCGAGCCCCCTGCAGCATTGGCTTGGCCTGGGCTGCAAGTGGACACACATGGATTCCTGTGCCAGCTCCTCACCCACCAGCGGTGTGACCTTTGGCTGATCGCTAACACTCTGTGCCTTTGTTTCCTCATCAATGAGGCACAATAATAATACAACGTTCCTCGAAGGATACAGTGACTCCCGGGACTCAGCTGAGATCTGGCTAGGAGGAGAAGTAATAAAGGCAGGTCTGCTGTGAAGCAGCCAGGCTTCTCTGGCCCTGAGCTTGGGTCTCTGTGTGTAGACTGCAAGGCAGGGACTGCACGGGGAGAGTGTGATGTTTTGAGGATGGCTGAAGGAGAGCTTTCTAACAGTGGAGTGGAGGGGCTGCCTTGGGAAGGTGTGGGCTCTCCCACTGGGTAAGGACCAAGACAGACTGAGAGACCTACAGGGCACTGGGCTCCAAGGTTTGAAAGGGTTCAGATGAGTCCTCCTCCTATCCGGGAGCGCCAGGACCTGACCCCAGCCTGCAGCTGCCATAGCAACCCCTGGCTCCTGCCCCTGTTCTGCTGGAGGTCAAGCCCATTGAATGTCTGGCTCTGCCCAAGGAAAGTGGCCCTGAATTCTGTCAGCTCCAAAGCCTGGAACTAGGTACCCTCATTTGAGTGCCCTGAACACTCTCTAGGTCTTCTCAAGACACAGCGTACCCTGGCTGGTTCCTGCTTCCAACCTAGAGCCAGAGGAAACATGGGAAGTGCTAGAGGGCGGTTTAAAAGTGCTATGAGCCAGGGGAAATGAATGCTTAGTGCCCAAGGGTCTGTGTGTTAGACCAGAAAGCATAAACGCAGCGCTGAGAGTAAAAAGGCACGAAGTGTAGTTCCCGCTTGGCTTTTGTGAGCTGTGTGACTGTGGACAAGTTGCTTAACCTCTCTGAGTTTGGTTCTCATCTGGCCACTCCAGTGGGCAGGAGACGTGGTGAGGAATTAATAACAGTCTGTTAGGGCCCCTCCTTGTCTTCCCCTGGGGGGGGGGCAGTTAAGGGAGCATGGCCAGGAAGGAGTCCCTGCCTGCCACCTGCATCAAGCTGGGGCGACCAGAGAAACAGCACAGAGAGGGGTGAACTGGGAAGGCACCTCCTGGGAGAGGCAGAGAGGGAAAGGAGGTGCTTTCCTTCCATAGGACCAGCATGGACAAACGCTGGAGGTGGGAAAGTGCAGGGCACATTCAGAGAGAGAGAATGACAGCAGGGGTAGGACCACCTCAGCTCACCTGCTGTCCTCTTTAGGGCCATGTCCCATCCAACTCCCAGCTCAGCTGACTGCACACAGTCGGTGCTTAAAAAGTATTGGAGTTGACCCAAGTGGCATGTACTAGGGTTAGTGAGACCATTTAGTCATTCCTTTCTTTAACTGTGGGCCAAGCACCCATCATCCATCCATTTATTCAGCACACCATGTATGGAAAACCTACTATGTGCCATGCTCTATGTTGAGTTAGGAAGATTCAAAATTTTCAAAATAAATAAAATATGGGTCCCCACCATCCTGAAGCCAGAGTCTATCACACTGAGGGGAACTTCATTGTCCCTCCCAGTCCCTTGCATCAGAACCTCCCTTTTGAGACCTCTCATGCCCACCTCCTCCGGGAAGCTCTCCCAGATACTCCAGGCTTGCCTGACTGTCAGGGTCTTGGAGTAGACTGGGTCACCTGATTCCCATACCAAACAGGAGGGTTCTTTGTGGGAGGAATGAATAACATTCTGGGTTGCTTCCATGTTGTGGACTCTCGTGGGGGAGTGTTTGGGGTTGACATCTCTGGGAAAAGTGGCCTGGCCGTTCAGTGTGGGGGCTGGCACCTCTTCCTATAGGGCCTATCCCCTGATGGCCGGAGCCCCCGGCCTTCCCATGGCAAGCCTCCCAGGTTCCACAGGGTGCTCATTCTCAGCCCCTTGGAGGGCAGGCAGAGACCGGGGGTACATAGGCTGGGTGGGGGTGAACAGAAGAGAAGAGCCAGGTGGGTTAAGTGACCCCCAAAATAGCCCATTGAGAGCCAAAAGGGCAGAGTAGCCTGCCTTCCAAGTCGCTGCTGCCTGAGGATGCAGTATTTCTGCGTCATCCCTGACCTCAGATTGGCCAGAAACCTTACTCGCCACATACATTAAAAGGAGGCTATCCCATCTTCAAATAATTTTTCTTGTTCAGCTCCTTCACACATTGACTCAGCGAACATCTGCTGGGCAGTGGCAATGGAGGATACACGAATAAGACCCGGTCTCCCACTGGAGAGATCCCCACAAGCCCTTTCAGTGCATTAGGTAGCGGAGAGGGCGTAGCAATATGCTTACAGCACACATTCAGCCCTGCAGAGAACACACCTTGACTCTCCCTTCCAGCCCCTGGGCCTTTGCTCTGGCTGTTGCCCCGTTTCTTCCCTGCCCAGTGCTACCATCCTTTAAGGTCTGACTGAAATACTACCTTCCCCAGAATGCTGTCACCTCCAACCCTCTTGCTCATCTGCCCCAGGTAGGCTGCTGGGGAGCTACACGCCCCGGAAGCTGCACAGGGAATGGGGTTCAGGAAATGAAGGGGAATTGACGGGACCTGGGCCGGGGCTGGGGCCAGTTCCTGTGAACCCCTCTGTGGTTGATTCCCACAAGCAAGAACAGCCCCCCAAGGGGCATGGATTTGAATCCTTACACCTTCATGTCCCTCCTCATCCCCCATTTGTCACAACCTAAAATGCTGTGGTTTTCCTATCAAGAGACTGAGTTGACCCCTTCCTCCCCCACCCCCCATGCCCAATAATTTCTTTTCTTCTGAGCTCAGAGAATGAAGACATCACTGAGGATGTCAGAGAGAGAGAGGCAGGCCCTGTTCCATTAGGGGTCCTCTGACACAAACTCACTTCAGACCCAGCCTCCAGCACAGGGAGGTAAGAGAAGCCACTCCTGCTAGGAGGCAGCAGCTTCCCTGCCAACAGGTGGGCAGGGAGCAGGGAAGCCAAAGGGACCTAAGGTGGTACATGGCACATGGTGGGGACAGGACAGAGGGCAACATTTACACTGCAAATGTACACTGTGTTTGAGCACAGAGTTTCAGGCTGAGCATCCTGAGAGCCAAGTCAAAAAGGGCAACCAGATGAGTAGCACATGAAGACACCAGTGACTGACAACAGAGGGTAGAGCCTGCATGGGTCTCTGTACTTGAGATTCAATGGAGGCACAATAGAGGAGAGCTCCAGGGGAGCTTGGTGACAATTTCTGTGAATGGCAAGAGGGAAATGTCCGGGCATGGTAGAATAGCTAAGATAAACCATCTTGCTGGAGCTCATGAAACAGAGAAAGACTTCAAATTGTCCTCAAATTGTCCACAAGATAGGAGTTTAAGGCCATTGCCCTGGGGAGAGTCTTTGCCAACCCTCAGTGAGCTGCCTCTGGTCCCAGGAAAAGCTGAGCTCCTCCTCTCACCCACAGAATTGAGGCTACCTCCTCAAAAGTCTAAGGCCAAGAAAGAGAGAGGTGGTGTCCTGGGCCCTGTTGGGTGAGTGGAATTGTGATGGCCTGAAAGTACCAGCACTGGGAACAGGCGGGGCTGGGGAAGGAAGGTGTGCAGCCCAGAGGTGAGCAGATGGGGGACCCAAAATAGTCAGAGTCTGCAATTCTGCCTGGCTATCCCAGTCAGAGTGAGCACCCTTATCTGTGCAGCCCTCACGGCCCAGCAAGCTCATGGGGCAGATGGGAGCCTGAGGTGAGCATGGACTTTGTCACCATCTGGACTGTCCCAGGGTGGGTGCAGGGATTGAATGTCTACCTGGCAGTGCTATGAACTCAGGCAGGGGCTCCCAGCATCTAGTGGGGTGGGGATAAGGGCCAGCTGCTCCCTGAGGCTGTGATTCCTTCCAGCAACCTGGGCCTGACTGAGTCCATTGGCCAAGGAGAGAGGGGCACAGGTGGGTTTGGAGTTAAGAAAGGCCTTGGTATTTATGTGTTGAGTTTGTTGTTCTGGACTATCAGCCTGGGGACAACAGGAAGGAGAACCAGGCATTGCCCCTGTTCAGGGGCTCACAGTTCATTGAGGTGACAGACAGTGCATCAGCCCACGTGACAACAGAGACAGGTGCTCAGAAGGAACAGAAGAAAAAGCTAGGCAACATGCTATACACAGGGAATTAGCATGTACAAAGGCCCTGAGGCAAAAAGGAACAGGGCCTGTGGAAGGAATTGGTGGGTGGCCACATGACTGGGGGCGGGCAGAGAAAATGGCTAACACGTGGGAAGCTGAAGATATGGAGGTGATGGACAGGCGTGTGAGAGGTAGGCAGAAAGGATATTTAGAAGGTAAAAAAGAAGGTAGTGCAGAAGGAGGGAGAGGGTAGAGCCAGGCTCAGCTCTGCATTCTGGTGTGTATAATCACAGGTCTTTGCTGAGAGGGGGACCCTGCAGGAGGGGCAGGTTTGTGGGGTGCTGAGTCCAGTTTTGTACCCTTAGTCTGAGGTATCTGTGAGGTGTTAGATCCAAAAGGAGGTGGGGACCAGGCTGTGGAAGTGCCAGGCCCCAAGCTCTGGGAAGGGTAGGGCAGAATGCAGTTGTAAAGGAGCTGGAAGCTGGCAGTGTGCATGAGGCTGGGAATGGGGAGGAGAGGCCACACTGTGCCTAGGGCAGCTCTAACCATGAATGGGGAGACTGAGGCAGGAGATGAGTGTGCGTGGAAGGAGAGGGACTGGAGGTGTCACTGCTGGCAAGGCGTCGGTTCTGTCAGAGAAGAGACCACCACCCCAGCCAGGGCAGGGGTGGCCAGTTCAGCGGTCACCCTGTCCTTCCTCTGGCAAGAAGCAGAGGGCAGCACTGACAGGTCTCACCTGGGGCGCCTCTCACCCCTCCCAGTCCTGTGGCTGCAGGACACTTCCTTTACCTCTCTGACCCTGGTCTTTCTCATCTATAATATAGGGAGAATGATGGTGCCCTCCCTAGCAGAGTTATGAGGATTGGATAATTCACATTTGATGGACACCAGCAGCCACCAAGGCTGGCTAACACAATGTTCGGGGCCCCACCTTGAGCTTCTACTTCAGGACTGGGGTGCAGCCTGAGAATCTGTGTTTCCCACAAGCTCCCAGGTGATGCTGCAGCTGCTGGTTTGTGGAGCACATCTTGAGATCCACTTAGTTTAGGGCAAGGGGTCTGGCATTGACTAGACACCCAGAGTTCTCCTCTAGGCCTGGGTCCCTGCCATGTTGCTGCTCTTCCTTGGTCTCAGCTTCCCTAACTGTCCGATGGGAGCAGGGAGTCCCTGGAGGCCTGCCTTGCAAAGATTGAGGGCAGGAGCCCAGGGCAGTCCTGGCCAGCCACCATGTAGCCATGTGGCCACCAAGTGGTGGGCATGCTACTTGGTAGAGAGGCCGCCAGGGACACAGACAACTGGACAATTATGGAAAGCCAGCTGGGCCAAGGGCAGCAGCAGGAAGCATCCAGAGATAGGACGTGTTGCTGCTGCCTGTGTGTGATCCCAGCAAGCGTAGTCACGCTCTAACCTCATTTTCCCTATCTGCCTCAATTCACTGTGGCTCATCAGGCATCCTGCTGAGGGGGAGCCACAGCAGAATTTGCCTCCTTGGCTAAGGGTCTAAAGACACAGGCAGAGAATTTTACCCCAAGAGTGGGCAAGCTCTTAGGTGGGACACTTTGGAGGCATAGCTCAGGTCAAGTTCAGGGGCCCGGGGAGCTCCCAGGACTGGTGGGATGTGCAGATGTGGGTTCAGGGGAGGGTTGCACAACAACCTGGTCCCAATAGAGGTGATTTATACATATAAAGTCATTTAACCCTCACAATCATCCTGTTTGTGCTATTATTATTCCATTTTACAGAAGGGGATACTCTGAGACACAGAGAAAGTAAGTAACTTGTCCAAGGTCATACAGAGAGTGAGTGGTATCAACTGTATTGAACCCAGGTAGCCTGGCTCCAGGGTCTGCTTCATTGTGATAAAGCATGTGAAAGTCCAGAGCAGGGAGCCCCCTGCCCAATTTCAGGTTCCTGAGGCTGGGATGCCGAGTCACCTTCTTCCTCCACAGGACAGGGAGTTACCTCTCTGAGAGGCCCCTGTCCTTGAGAACTGATGGGCCGGGGAGAGGCACTCTCCCCAGTCGGTCCTGTTTCTGACCCAAGGAGCACTCTGCCTCGTGGGCCCCATGACCTATCAGCAGGCAGGACTGGGTCCTGACTGGGCTCTGACACCTGTGTTCAGGCCACCTGTGTTCATGGCTCTGGGGAAAGCCCCCTCAGCAGGGCGGCCAGGTAAATACAGAATGTTCAGTTAAATCTGAATTTCAGATAAATGACAAATACATTTTAAATGTAAGCATGTTTCAAATATCACATGGGGCACACCTATACTCAAAAAAGTATTCGTTGTTTAATCTAAAATTCGAATTTAACTGTGTGTCCTGTGTTTTTATTTGCTCCAACTGGCACACCTACCCTGGGGCATCATGCACTCCACCTCCCATGCCATGTGCCAGCCTCCTCCCTCCCTGCCCCTCCCCCCAGTGCCCAGCCTGGAGCAGACAGTGCCCCATCTCCACTGCCTCCTGACTCCTCCTGCCAGCTTCTCTCAGGCACTCTGAGCTCAGCACACCCTAAAGTAAACTCCCCATCTTCCCTGGGCCCCTCTCAGAGGTGTCTCCACTGTCCACCCAGCCATCCCAGCCAGGGACCAGGGACAGCCTTTCACGGTCCTCATCTGCCCGCCCTGTTCTTCCTGTCCTACGGCCCCAGGTTTCGCCCCTCCTGCACCCCTGCCTGGCTTTGCCCCTCCCATTGAGCTTCCCCCAAAGTATCCTCCCAGGCCACCTGCTTAAATCCAGGTCTGAACCCTGTCCTAGCCAGGGGAGGTCCTCCGAGGAGGAAGGGAGGGGACCCTGAAGACATGTTGAAGTCAGGAACATTCTGCCACCATGGGGAGGTTTGCCTGCTTTATCATTTTCAAAGAGAGAGCTTTGCCTTCCAGGAATGCCGGCTCCCTTGGGTCCAGGCCAGTGTGTGTGAGGGAGTGACCTAGGGCCCTCCTGCCAAAATAAAAGCCCCCGGGGCCAGCTGGGACTGGAGGACCCGCTGCCCCCTCCTCCTGCTGACCCTGGTCTCTCTGTTTTGCAGCTCCCTGAGGGCCTCGTTTGATTCCCTGAAGCAGCGTAAGTCATGAATATCCTCTACCTCAGGCTGCAGGGTGACAGGACCTTCTGGGAACATAGAGGTGGATGGATTCTGGCCAAGAGGGGAGCTCAGGCTGCACACAGGACTGAGGGACTGGCGGCGGACTGGGGGTGACAGAGGTCGGTCTAGTTGGGGTGAGTGTGTGGATCGCTGAGGCCCATCATGTCTGACGTGGGGTGCCGATACCCATACTGTGCCCCCAGAAATGGAGGATGTGGGCAGCTCGCACATCCAGCTGGCCCTGGCCCTGCGTGATGAGCTGCGCAGCCTGGAGGAGTTCCGAGAGAGGCAGAAGGAGCAGAGGAAGAAGGTGAGGCAAGGCCGGGTGGTCCCCCATCACCAGGACCCCAAGCGAGAGGTGGCGATCATCGCTGTGGACATGGTGGGAGATGCACCCCCCTGTAGGAGCCAATGGAGAGTGGGGAGCAGCACCCCAGGCTTGGGGTTGAGGGTGATTTGAAGGAGGAGGGGAAGGGCCCATCTCGCAGGCCTGGATGCCCCCTGGGGGTCCTTCCCCCAAGCTTTTTCATACAAGGAAGAGGGGAAGACATGTGTCTTGTTGACTGTCCTACCACAGCAGACTGTAGAGGGGCAGTGACAGCTTGGCGGTCTCCAAAGGAAGCAACTGAAGTTGGGGAGTCAGCAGAAGCTGGTCCTGAGCCCAAGGATCTGGGCTGTTTGGGAGAAAGGCAGACCTGGGGCCATTCACTGTGGCCACTCTGTAGAGCTGCCTGAGGTTGAGGGGCCGACAGAGCCTGCAGGGAGTGGGGGTAACAGGCTTACCTCAGCATCCTAAGGTACTTCTCACCTGTGTGTAGGGCCTGGCTGTCCCTGCACGGAGGGACTCCATGGAAAGCGAGATTCCCATTATGGGACATATGCAACCAGAGGATGGAGGCCACGTGTCAGGGAAGCTGCAATCGTGGGGTAGGAGATGGGCTAGGTGACCTCTGTGTCCCAGGGCCCCCTCCCTAGCCTAAGACTCTAATTGGCTGAGTGTGTTGCCTGCTGGGAGAACAGATGTGTACATGCTCAGGCTTAGTGATGAGGGGAGTACCCCGGACAGGGAGGGAGAGGTCAGCACACACAAACACTTCTTGCTTGGAGAGGAAGGATTATTGTAAATGATACAAAGAACTGAAAATGGAAAATTCCACACAATCGAGCTGTGAAGGAGAAGAAGGTGCCAGCTCATGGCTGGGGCCAGGCTGGGCCTGGGTGTCCTGGCCAAGCCGCTTCCCCTCTTTGTGCTTCAGTTTCCCTCTTGCAAGATGGGACACATGTCCACTTCCCAAGCTTTGGGGACCCAGGCCAGAGCCAGGTCGCCTCAGTCTTCACAAACAGGGCACCAGCTTTCATCAGTGGCTCTGACCTCAGAAATTCAGCAGGGCTGCACTCTCTGTCTGCCCATCTCGCCAGCTGGGGGCGGGTCTCAGGCTTTCAGGACTCTAAATTTGGGTTCCTGAGCAGACAGTGTGTCCCCAAAGCCCGCCCCAGAAGCCTGCCCAGCCTGGAGGTGCTGGAGCAGGGGGCCTCTCTGAGCGGGGCCTTGCCTGCAGAGCACCTGCTGTGCCAGCAAGACCTGGAGCTGTGATGTCTCCAAAAGCTGTGTGGGCAGAGCAACACCAGATTAGCCAGGGCCTTGGCAAGCAGAGAGCTATGATGTAGTGTGAGGGAAAGCCTGCCTGGGTGTGCGTGTGCACATGTGCATGTGTGCAGAATATGGGCGCACATATGTGCACACCTGTGAGCATATGAGTGTGTCTCAGAGGTTTTGTGTGTGGCCAGGAGGCTTGCCTGAGGTCTCCCACTGGCCTGGGCTCCCTGTGACCCCAGGCACGAACTGGCTGCGGCCCCAACATGAGAGGCATTTCATTTCCGATTCTTCTCTCAGCTTATACCCAGTGTTTGTCCAGGCTGAGTTTCATCCTCTCTGTCTGAACAAGGAGCCTGGGAGGTGAGGTGAGAGTGCAGTGGCCAGTGTGTACGCATGTGGCCATGATTAAATTTAGTGTGTGTGTGTTCACCTGTGCGGATAGGCCCGTGACTGTGCACAGGGAACAGGGAAGTGTGCAAGTAAGAGCAGTGGGGGTGTGGGGCCTATTAGAGTGCACTTCTGAAGTGCATCATGTGGCACTTTGTGTGCATGTATGTGCCAAAGTGTGTGTGACAGCTATGAGCAGGTACAGAGGTGGTGAGTGAAGGACTGTGTGCGTGCACGTAGGCTGGCTATTCTCTGGCTAGAGACCAAGTCCTGGCCAGGAGGACATGACCTGTGCCCTGGGGCTCTCCAGCTTTCTGTTCTGAACAGTAACTGTGAAAGAGCAGGCATGGGAGAGGGAGGGCATCTTGTCACCGCCCCCTTCAGAGCCAGGAGAGGATGCTGCACCTCATCCCAGGGAAACCCCATCCTCTTGGCCCAGGGCAGTGCCCAGAGGACAAAGCCCCCCACTAAGAGCTTCGTGTCCCCTGCAGTATGAGGCTGTCATGGACCGTGCCCAGAAGAGCAAGCTGTCACTCTACAAGAAGGCCATGGAGGTGGGTACAAGGCTCTTGGCTTTCAGGTGTGTCAGGGCCCAAGGTGTGGCCCCCAGAAGACCTGGGATGGGCACCTAGAGTAGGGCTTATCTCAGATCTTGCCCAGCGACATGCACAGCAGCCTGCCAGGTGCTCAGGGCTGCACTAGGTGCCAAGACCCCACAAGACCAGGCCAGGCCCTGCCCTGGAGGACCTTGACTGATGGGCAGGTGGTCAGTCCCAGACAATGGCCCACAAGGTCATCCATGCTGTCAGCTGGGGACTCCAAGGGTAGAGGAAGAAGGGCTCCCTGAGCTGTGTCCCCTGGAACACTGGATGAGGAGAAAAGGTCCCACAAGAGGAGACAGTGTGTGTAGGATCATGAAGATACATGGCATTTTCAGAGACTTGCTGGTGGTTTGATGTGACCACGCCTCTGAAGGGGCCAGGGCCATGGGTAGGGCTACGCTGTCCCCAGTGGGAAGGGGCCTGGGAACAAGACTGCCTCCTCCCTCTCCATTCCCGACCTCCAGATCCCTGTCCCTGGTGAGGAGGTGCCCACTCCATTCACAGCCCCAACAAGGAGAAGGGAGGCTAGGCTCAGGGAACTTCACTCTGGGCCCCCAAATCACGCCCTTCCACGCTCCCAGTCCAAGAAGGTATATGAGCAGAAGTGTCGGGATGCAGATGACGCCGAGCAGGCCTTCGAACGCATCAGTGCCAATGGCCAACAGAAGCAAGTGGAGAAGGTACGTGGGGCCACTGAGGCCATATGCTGTCACCCAGGGCTGGGGCAGAGTTGGGGAGACAGGGAAGGGGTGCTACAGATACCCCCAGGCAAACTCTGCATCTGGGACATGCTAGCTGCTCACCCCTGTCTGAACCTCCATCTCCCCATCTGTGAAATGGGTTTCCTAGAATCTCAGGGCCTGGACAGACAATGTCAAATTGGTCCCCTTTGCCATCTCCAGGCTGCACCCAAGGACCCATTCCTCAGAGCAGGCCCACTGCTTCCCAGGCCCAGAAGTCACAGGGCAATGAGAGCAGACACTAACCCTCACACAACCCTTGTAGAGGGGCTCAGTAGGCCCATGTCACAGAGAGGAAAATGAGGCCCTGTTATGGTGAGTGACTTGTCCAAAGTCTCAGTAGGGAGCAATAGAGAAAGGATCCAAACCCGTCCAGAGTCGTCCAGAGTCCAAGCTGTTGACTGCTCTGGACTCTGAAGCCAAGTGGGGGTATCAGAGCCACAGGCTCCAAGAACATATGTTGCCCACTGCACACACAGGAAAGCTGAGGCCCAGAGAGGTCAGCGGCCTGAGAGTGAATTGGAGACAGCAAGTTGGGGGCCAGAGCCCAAGTCCTAGCCAGTGGGTTCAGCACTGGCCACATGGAGCCTCAGGGCCTGGCCCGTGGTCTCCATTTCTCTCTCTAAGTCCTGACATCTAGTTTTCATGTGTGTCTGCAGGTTTCTGTATTTATTCCTTTTTTGCTGGGACCTTTTTTATTGTAGTCCTCTGTGTAGTGAGGCTGGGTAAATGATGGAACTTGGTCACAGTTGACTCCAAGTGTTTCCCTGCGTGGCTGGAGAGGGGTGTGACAGAGGCACTTCGGAGTCACCCAGGGAGGCTGGGAGCCCCACACTGGGCCGGGTGGCCTCCGGAGCAAAGACTCAGCACTGCTTTCCCTCCGTTTCCTCAGAGCCAGAACAAAGCCAAGCAGTGCAAGGACTCAGCCACAGAGGCAGGTATGTGGCCCGCCTGCCTCCTCAGACCTGGGTGGTAGCTGGGGCAGGCCTTCCCCTCACCACACACTTTCTTATCTGGGAACATACACACTCACACCTGACGACACAGAGTCACAAGCTTATCACTCTCACTTCCATACTCATGTAAGTAAAATGAAAACACTCATGTTCTCTCATTTGCCAAGACTATTCTTGGTGTTTTGCATGTTTTAACTAATCTGCACAAAAATCCTATGAGGTGGTTACTATTATTATCCCCCTTTTTAACAGATGAGGAAACGGAGGCACAGAGAGGTTAAGTAACTTGCCCAAGGTCTCACAGCCAGTAGCTGGTGGTGACTGCATTCCAACTTAGGTCATCTGGCTCTACAGCCTAGGACTTTCACAACCACCATCATGGCAGAGAGACCCATTCATCT